ATTTAATGTAGACAACTGTTAGGATGGCAGCTGAACTCATTTCATTTTTTGCCTGGACCAAAAGGACAATGGCATCCGTAACAGAAATTATTGGGCAGAACTGCACTGTGTGCTAACATATGGGACATGAAACATCACATAGTGATAAAGCATATTAGGGCAGAAAATAAATTAATCCTCTTTAAAGATCACATCACTGTATGTTATTTTATTAAAAAAACCCTGAAACTTGAATTGATATTTGATTTCAAAAAGCTATTTAAATACAGCATAAACCTGCCAAATGGAATTTGAGGGCTTGGAATCTTGAGCATTTAATAAATTGAAAAGCAAGAAAGGTGAATCATGAGCTGGGAATACTACTGAAATGATTTTAAACCAGAGGAAATATAAGTTAAAAATTTTTTCCTGATGAGATTTTATTTTTAAACTAATTTATTAATTTAAATTAAAATACAAAAATAAATTCCTTAATTTTTTGCTCTTTGAAACCATCGGTTACAATGTTAACTTTTTCATAAAGGACCTTTCCTAATTTCATGAAGAAGATTATCTCACAGATCAAGAGACTACAGAGATTTGCAGTAGAGACACATTTACCGTCTCCATTAAGCACATCACACTCAAGTTACAGAAGAACACATTTCAGCAATTCCCATTCAGTCATGCTATTCGTGCTGTGAACCAGGTATTTTAATTAGTTCCATCACACTCATTATCACACACACATGCCTTTAGAGAAATCACATTATTGCTCCTGAAAATGTCTCTGTGACTCTTGCTCACGTTATTGAATGGCAGATTAATTTTGAAATTATAATCTTTTTGTTTAAAATTTTTTTAAATGTTTATTTATTTTAGAGACAGATAGAACACAGTTGGACCTTTCCCAACTAGACAAACTCTTTGTCTTGCTCATAGATGGACACTAGAGATATTCCACTAAGGCCAGAAAACCACACTAAAAAATGTACATGGTCACCTGTTCTATTAATTTGTCATTGTATTGGGGGGTTAGCCAGGGCCATTTAAAATGGCATAAGAATTAGAAACAAAGATGCAGAACTATGTTTGTATATGATTCAAGTATACGTCCCAAAACACAAAGGAACTGATAGAAAGTCCAGTATTAAAAATAATTCAGTAAGCTAATAGGACATAATACTGACATACAAAAACAGTAGCCTTTTTGTACATAGGCTAGTATTTTTTTTTTATTAAAAACATTTTTTAATGTTTATTTATTTTTGAGAGAGAGAGCGAGAGAGAGCTAGATTGAGAGGGAGACACAGAATCCGAAGCAGGCTCCAGGCTCCAAGTTTTCAACACAGAGCCCAATGCGGGGCTTGAACCTACAAACTGTGAGATCATGACCTGAGCCCAAGATGGACGCTTAACCGACTGAGCCAACCAGGCCCCCATGTACACAGGATATGTTTATACAATAGCCTAGGTGCAATAAAGACACATTTATGAGTTATTAAGAAGGCCTGCAACTACAAAAGCGTAACATAAGATGAAATAGGGGCACATGGGTGGCTCAATTGGTTAAGCATCCGACTCTTCATTTCATCTCAGGTTGTAATCCCAGGGTCATGGGATCAAGCCTCCTGTCTGGTGCTGCACTGAGCGTGGAGCTCGCTTGGGATTCTCTCTCTCTCTCTCTCTCTCTCTCTCTCTCTCTCTCTCTTCCTCTCTCCCTCTCTCTCCACCTGCCTCTATCCCCCTCTCTCTCTCTAAAATAAACAAATAAATAAATAGCTTTAAAAAATAAATGAAATAAACTAGCCGGTAATGAAACTAGCAAAAATGTGTAAAGCCTATATGGGGGAAAAATTAAACATTCATGAAATATATGAAAGTAGAAATAAATGAATATAAATTCATGTCATGTTCTTGGGTAGAAGAAGTCAATGTTATAAAAAGGTCAATTCTCCTTAACCTAATTTATGAATTTAATTTGATCCTGATATAGTTTTTTAAATATATTGACATAGTTTTTCGAACTAGCAATGTTACTGCAAAAATCTTACAGAATAATGAACAAATAAAAATATTCACAAAAACTTAAAAAATCAGTATGGATATCCTTATGAGATGTTTATTTATAAACAGATTATGAGATCAGTGAAGCTAAAAATTCAGAAGTATGCCAAAGTGCATAAGAAAAGTTAATAACCAGCATAAACTAAAGTGGGGGATAACATCATTAATGCTTGGTATTTGGGAAATGGGAATTCCTATCCAAATGACAATAAATGTTCTTTTTTGGTTTTTTAAATTTTTTCTTAAGTTCATTTATGTTTGAGGGAGAGGCAGAGGCAGTGTGTGAGCAGGGGAGGATCAGAGAGAGAGGGAGACACAGAATCCAAAGCAGGATCCAGTCTCCGAGCTGTCAGCACAGATCCCAACGCACGGCTCAAACCCAGAAACCATGAGATCATGACCTGAGCCAATGTTGGACGCTTAACCAACTGAGCCACCCAGGTGCCCCGACAATAAATGTTTTTATCCTTCACATCCTACAGCAGGATAAAGGTCAAACAAAAGAGAAGTCTATATGGTAAAAAATAATTAAAAATGATTAAATACCTTCCTAAGACCTGCTTCTCAAGCACCTGACTGTAGCCACCCTCTGGCTCATCATCATTAAAGACGTTGCTCAGCAACACTTTTGGCTTGAAAAATATCTTCGTTGAGTTTTGATGCATATTTGTTTTGTATGTTCCGAGTGGCCACTGGTGTATCCATTGGCACCACCTGCTTCTTGAGTGTCTTCCAGGACATCACGATTGGCCCCAGGAACTCCAAGATGATAGAACTTAAAATAAAAGCTCTGCGCACCTCTCTAACAATCAGCTGCTGGATCCTCACTGTGGGGGTAAATACCACTTTCTCTCTTCTTGTGACTGACAATGAACAGTGGAAACATCACAAAGAAATTTGACCAGGGGGTGCTGAATAACAAGATCACACAATCACCATTTGCCCTACTTTTAACCTTCCTTCCTGTGGGCCATTAGGGATTCATGACCTGGACCAGCATCTCCATAGTTTTCCACATCTTAAGATACAAGCAGTGGGTCCAGCACATTCACAGGAACATCTCCAGAATTTCCCCAGAGGTGAGGGCTACCCAAGGCATCCTTGTCTTGATAAGCACCTTTGTATCGTTTTAAGCTCTCTCTTCCACCTTTTCATTTCATTTGGCTCTTTCTGAAAATCCCAGTTGGTGGGTGCAGAACCCCTCTACCCTAATTACTCCATGGTTTTTTTTTTTTTTTTAACAATCAGCCCTTCTGTTCTCTGGAGCCCTGACCTTATTGTGTCCAGGGTCCTCTCTGAATGCTACAGAAGGCATACACAACTCTCTAAAATGACAAGATACCTATAAACTATTGTAAACTGTTAAAGAATGTGTAGTCATGTGTTCATTCACTCCTTGCAGAGATTTAAGCACTGGAGGGGGCAGTCACTCAATAGAGAGGGTGTGAAAAACAAACCCAGCCAGCACCACCTTCAGGATTTCCACAGGAAAACAGAAGAGGAGCTATTAACTTGCATATTTCCTATTGAAGATTATTAACAGTATATATAATGCTGCTGAAAATATGAAAACCTAGTTTTACAATTTGCTTGTATTATTGACATAAAGAACAGACATGTCTCTGGAAATATTTCAAAACCACTATTTCATCAGTACTAGGAAAAGTTAAGTATCTCTGAAAGAGTACACCTTTTACAAGCCTCCTCATCTGCACTTGTTACCAAGCATTCAGAAACAGAAAACAAAAAGATCTAATTTTCCGGGTACCTGGATGACTCAGTGGCTGACCCTCAGACTCTTGCTTTTGGCTGAGGTCAGGATCTCAGGGTTTGTGAGGTCCAGCCCAGAGTTGGAGGGGGGGGGGGGGGCGGGGGAGGGGACAGAGGGCTCTGCTCAGAGCCGGCTTCGGATTGCAGATCTAGCTCACTGCCCCTCCCCGCTTGCTCTCCCTCCCGTGCTCTCTCTCAAAATAAATACATTTTTAAAAATCTAATTTTCAAGGGAAAAAAATCCTTCCAAAATAACCGAGAACAAAGATTTAAAAAAATTAAAATTGCAATGAAATTTGGCAATTAAGGGCTTAAGCAAATACAGGTGCCATGTGGTAGGTTTCAAAGACGTTTGGATTTGTAATTCATCTCGAGAGGTGTGGATTCGAATATCAAATCTAAAGAAAAAGACATTAATGAACACTTATAGAGGCAAAAATGTTCCTTTAAAGCAACTTGCCAGCTTTTCGCTCCCACAGCCCAGGGCGGAAAGCAGTCCGGCGAGTAGAGAGAAGTGACAATTCAGTGAAAAGCTCTGATGGGGAGTTAATACCAAACTGCACATTCTCCACAAAACGGTTTTGCATTTCGCAATGTAGCGTCCATCACCGACACTGACCACCCCGGCTTTTGCTGCATTAAACAAAGAGCTGTAACTGTCCGCGTCTCAGTCGACCCACTAGGACTCCCAGCCCCAAGTCCCCGCGCTGCTCCGCCTCCCCAGCTGGAGGCGCGTCTACACTGCTTGCTACAAATGTTTCCCCCGGCATCGTGTTGAATTTGTCAAATACCGCCGCTGCCAACAGAAGCGGCCCACCCTTCCCTAACCTTGTGCCCAGCCTGGCTCCAAACGACACCAGCGAGATTGGGAGGAATCCAAAAGCAGAACCTGAAACCGCGGGGCAGAAAAGACAAACAGGACTGGCAGACACCAGGAAGCCGACCCTGAGCAGGGGAGGACACTGTACGCCCAGGCCCCGCCTAAACCCGCCGTGTCACAAACGCGCCTCGGCCCCGCCCAGCGACTCGCGCTTGCGCACTTGCCTGCAGACCCGGAACTGGATCGCCTGGAGCAACCAGCGCGCTCGGGTGAGTGAGTCTCCATTTTCCTGGTTTACACCAGGGGCCGAGCTCCTAAAGCCCCGCCTCCACATCCAGGTTTCGGGGTCGCCTGGAAGGTAAAATCCTTGCACTCACTCGTCCCTTTCACTTCTCGCGGCGTGGCTATAAGACGTTCCGATCCCAGTCGCTCGGAGCGGGTCCCGGGCCTCTGCATCGTTTCCGTTTAAAATCGCTGAGGCAGGTACGGGCCCAGCCTTTTTGTCTCTGGCCCTTGCAGACCCCGATCGCCCGGACAGTCGCTTTCCTGCTCAGAACCTTTCTCTGACTCCCGAGTCTCCCCACTGCCGTCCACCCCCAACCGCGTCGTGCACAGTCGTCACTAGGGAGGTGGATGCAGGCCCTTCGCCCCGCCGCAGGGAGGTCAGAGTGGGGACAGAGATGCCAGGGAAAGACGCAGAAATCTGCAGAGTTAGAAGGCCATCATAAAGTGTGGGGAGAAAGAACGGCGGGGATTGAAACAGAGGCCGTAATAGAGTGGGGTCAGACTGTTGGAGGAGGAATAGTGAGGCAGGGACACAGAAATGGACAAAAGGACAGAAGAGAAACAAGGACACAGAGACTTATACAGAGAAGAAAACACGTAGTGGTCTCAGACAAAGCACAGGACCCAAACCCAGGTGAGTACTGAATTGATTGGATATGGGGATATTAAGTTGTGAAGTACTGATTTGTGGCTTTATGACTTCATTAATCTAAAATTTGGTGAATTGTTCGTTATACAGAAGAGATTGAGAGTTGTGAACCCTGATGTTTGAGGCATCTGCTGTTTCTAAGCATTGCATCAGAAGATCAATTCCATTTGCAACCCCTACTCATCTAGAGGGCAGAGGACTAGCTCAGTGAGTTAACCAGGGAAGACTTTCTATAACCACATGGTGCTTTTTACAATGGCCATCATTAACAGTACTGTTTGTCTCTCTCCCTTTTTCCTGTGGCTCATGGTATTCTTTGGTGTATCCTCACACTTGTTTTGGCTTTAATCTCAGAATCCATTGGATATCTTTTTAATTTCCAAATTATTTTCCCTCTGAATTTTATTGTTCAGATTATGAATTTTATATACTTTCTACTCTATCATATGTTGGAACCATTCTTTGATTTCTGGTAAATAACTTTATAATATTCCCTTACACATCCGTTAAGGATGTTGATAATCTTTAACACTCAAAACGTGTTCAGGCAGTTAATTTAATATTCAACAGTTCTCTTTTTCCCTTAAGTGATCTTTTACATTACTGAGTTCCAAGCTGAAGTCTCCAACTAATTAGACGATCCTCTCAAGTCCCCTTTGTCTTTTCTGTACACGTGTTGAAAGGTGGTCTGGATTGATGTGGAACTTTGTTCCAGCAGAGCCCATCTGTTCATAATACAGATTGCTCAGAGCTCATCCCCACAGGTCACCGTTTTTCATGTTTTCCAGGACTTGTAACTATTTGTAATTTCATACAGCTTTTCTGGAAAAGAGGAATTAAATGTTTGGGTTTGATCAAACCCATGAAAGACAAGCCTCTCTTGTTCGGGAATATGAAAGGTAATCTGGAATTAGGACCAACACTTTTTTTTTTTTTTTTTAATTTACATCCCAGTTAGCATGTAGTGCAATAATGATTTCAGGAGCAAAATCCAGTGATTCATCCCCTACATATAAAACCCAGTGAACATCCCAAGAAGTGTCCTTCTTAACGCCCCTTACCCATTTAGCTCATCCTCCCACCCAGCACCCTTCCAGCAACTCTCAGTTTGTTCTCTGTATTTGAGTCTTTATGTTTTGTCTCCCTCCCTGTTTGTACATTATTTTTGCTTCCCTTCCCTTATGTTCATCTGTTTTGTGTCATAAATTCCACATATGGGTGAAGTCGTATGTTGTATGTGTTACTCTGCTAATTTCACTTAGCATGATAGACTCTAGTCCGTCCATATTGTTGCAAATGGCAGGATTGCATTCTTTTTGATTGCCAAGTTAATACTCCACTTATATATATACATATAATACTTGTATATACATATATATATACTTATATACATATATACTTGTGTGTGTGTGTGTATATATATATGTATGTATGTATATATACACATATATATGTATATACCACATCTTCTTTATCCATTATTCAGTCGATGGACATTTGGGCTGTTTTCATTCTTTGGCTATTGTCAATAGTGCTGCTTTAAACAATGGGGTGCGTGTCCCCCTTCGAAGCAGCACATCTGTATCCCTTGGATAAATATGTAGCACTGCAAGTGCTGGGTCATTGGGTAGTTCTACTTTTAATTTTTTAAGGAACCTCCATACTTTTTCCAGAGTGGCTGCACCCATTTGCATTCCCACCAGCAGTGCAAAAGAGATCCTCTTTCTCTGCATCCTCGCCAACATCTGTCGTTGCCTGAGTTGTTACTGTTAGCCATTCTGATAGGTGTGAGGTGGGATCTCATTGTGGTTTTGATTTGTATTTCCCTGATGGTGAGTGAAGTTGAGCATTTTTTCATGTGTCGGTTGGCCATTTGGATGTCTTCTTTGGAAAAGTGTCTATTCATGTCTTCATTTCTTCACTGGATTGTTTTTTGGGTGCTGAGTTTGAGAAGTTCTCTATAGATTTTGGATACTAATCCTTTATCTGATATGCCATTTGCAAATATCTTCCCTCATTCCGCTGTTTGCCTTTTAGTTTTGCTGATTGTTTCCTTCGCTGTGCAGAAGCTTTTTATTTTGATGAGGTCCCAATAGTTCATTTTTGTTTTTGTTTTTCTTGCCTCTGGAGACATGTTGAGTAAGAAGTTGCTGCGGCCAGGTCAAAGAGGTTTTGGCCTGCTTTCTCCTCGAGGATGTTGATGGCTTCCTGTCTTACATTTAGGTCTTTCATCCATTTTGAATTTATTTTTGTGTATGGTGTAAGAAAGTGGTCCAGATTTCTTCTGCATGTCACTGTCCAGTTTTCCCAGCTCCACTTGCTGAAGAGACTGTCTTTATTCCATTGGATATTCTTTCCTGCTTTGTCAAAGATTAGTTGGCCATATGTTTGTGGGTCCATTTCTGGGTTCTCTAGTTTGTTCCATTGATCTGTGGGTCTGTTTTTGTGCTAGTTCCATACTGTCTTGCTGATTACAGCTTTGTAACACAGCTTGAAGTCCGGAATTGTGATATTTGCAGCTTTGGTTATCTTTTTCAGGATTGCTTTATTTGGGGTCTTTTGTGGTCTCATACAAATTGTAGGATTGTTTTTTCTAGCTCTGTGAAGAATGCTGGTATTATTTTGATAGGGATTGCGTTGAATATGTAGATTGCCTTGGGTAGTATTGACATTTTAACAATATTTGTTCTTCCCATCCATGAGTGTGGAATATTTTTCCTTTTTTCTTTTTTTTTTTTTTTCTGGTGTCTTCAATTTCTTTCGTAAGCTTTCTATATAGTTTTCAGGGTATTGATTTTCCACCTCTTGGGTTAGGTTTATTCCTAGGTATTTTATGGGTTTTGGTGCAGTTGTAAATGGGATCGATTCCTTGATTTCTCTTTCTGCTGCTTCATGATTGGTGTATAGAAATTCAATTAGGGGCACCTGGGTGGCTCAGTCCGTTAAGTGTCTGACTTCAGTTCAGGTCATGATCTCACTGTTTTTGAGTTTGAGCCCTGTGTCAGGCTCTGTGCTGACAGCTCAGAGCTTGGAGCCTACTTCGGATTCTATCTCCCTCTCTCTCTGCCCCTCCCTTCCTCATGCTCTGCCTCTCTCTCTGTCTCTAAAATAAACATTAAAAAAAAAAAGAAATGCAATTGATTTCTGTGCATTAATTTTATATCCTGAGACTTTGCTGAATTCATGGATCAGTTCTAGCAGTTTTTTGGTGGAATCTTTGGGATTTCCATATAAAGTACAAGTCATCTGCAAAGAGTGAAAGTTTGACTTCCTCCTTGCTGATTAGGATGCCAGGACAAGCCCTTTCTGCTTAAAGCTATCCAGGCCATCATTTCAGAATTTACTTACACCCAGTTCTGCTCACTCAACTCAAACTTCTTAAGGGTAACTTGGTAAAATTACTCCCCTTCTGAGCCCCAGTGTACCTACCTGTAACATGGAGATGACAGACCAAAAATTCTGAACCTGAGCTAATAAGATCCCTGAAATGATTTTCAAAAGTTGGGTGTGTTTTTGTGTTGGCAGTTTTCTGGATGAGGGTATGCAGTTATCATTAGAGTTTACAATGTGACCCATTTCCAAAAATAATAAAAACCACTTAGAAAGAGGCAGAATAGTCTTAGAGAGAGAGACATGCCTCTGTCAGCTCCACCCTCTCTGTGTGTCTTAGCTATATCTTAAAAATTTGTGTCATCTTTTGACATTAAACCTTCTCATGGCTTCCCATCACCATGAGGACAAATATCTAAACTCAGAGTGTAGTAACCAGGGAGCTTTGGAGCTCAGGTGGCAACTTGTTCCAAATTGATGGCATGGACAGGCTTCTGTGTCTTCCATCAACCATTCAATGGATGCTGGCTTCCTAGGGAGGAGCCAAGAACTTGAATGAGGGAGTTCCCTTAGGCTGAGTGCCAGGTAGACAAGACAATGCAGTTTCAGTAGAGTGTGTACGTTTCAGCAGGAGGGGAGGGCTTTCTGAAGAAATGCTTGACAAATGCACTTGTTGGACTCCATATAGGAGTTTATTCTCCCTGCATCCCTTTTGTTGCGGTGGGCAGTAAAGGTCTTTTTCCCATAGTAAGGTGCTCTCTGTATGCATACTCTATATGCATACTGTGGCAGAGGAAGAGGATATCTTGATTCTAAACATTAAACAACATACTTTTTGTCACACAGTATAACCTTACCTGAGAAGGAAGACCAGAAGAAGAAGGGGAAAAAAAAGGAGGAATGGCTCTTTTCCAGGTAAAAGTCCTATTTTTCGATGATTGTTCTTCCTAAAATGTCACATTTTGGACTCATTAATCTTCTCCATCTCAGAGTTGTCCTGCCTACAGTGTTTACTCCCACCCAGGGCCTTCTCCCAGTCTCCTCTCATCTCCATGCAGATTCCATCTCACTGTGACCCAGTGACATGGAACTTGGGAAGAGGCTCCTTTTAGGTGGTTATCCTGTGAAGGAGTTTCTTTGCAGGCAAGAACTAGAGATGGGGGAAGTGGGCTGTCGTGTCCTTGAGGTTTGGCAGTAGGATTCTTCAGAGACTCCTTCTAGATGCCCATTCAGCTCATATAAATAAACCAGGATTAAAGAGATTACATACGTAAGTAATATATTAATGCTCACAAGTACTTGAGAAACCCTGGAAAATAAGACTGACGGGAAAATTTGCTTTGTCTGATTTTACAAATGCCTTTTGACGTTAAACGAGGGAATCAGTGTGCTTCTGACTCCCAAATATTAATACTTTGGAATAGAATGGGAAGTTCAAAGTATGGATAAGGAATAGAGAGTTTTGTTTTGTTAACACAATTAGTTTTAAAATGTAGAATCAACCTACTTTTCTAACAGTAAGTGTTCTTTAAATTATTTATAGCACATCCATCTCATAAAGACCATGTGTGGTGTTCTTTCAGGAACTCTTATGCCGCAGATATTTTAAATAAAAATGTTTATAACTTAGCCTGACATAGGACCAGAACTTTCTGTCATCAGAGAGGCTGGTGCTCAATTTTCATTTTACTAATAATTGTTAAAATTTTTTTTGTATTAAACCCCTCTAGTATATATTTTTGTGGTTCAGTTCCACACAGTGGTACATCTTAGAAACTAATAAGTAAAATAACCATTCCCTCTCACATCTTTCACCATCACGGATTGTCTTCATCAGGAACCGATGTTCTCTTTAGTGCAAATCTTCTAAAAATGTATTTACATATTGTAACGTGATTTTAGAAAATATTCTTCACTACATGTTTTATCATCATATTTCACTCTGCAAATTGAAATATTTACATACCATATGTCTTGAAGTTGTTCTCATGTTAGTAAACGTAGAGATAACTGCTTTTTTAGATCCTCATTGGAGCATTCACTAAATGAAGAAACATGGGTCCTTTACAATTTCTTACTGTTTCAAAGAATGCCATGGTGGTGGCTTCTCAGCAGGCAGACTTCACTACAGACACATAAGGGTATCTTAAAATTGTTACGGGGTGCCCTGGTTGGCTAGGTCGATAAGATGTCCGACTTGGGCTCAGGTCATGATCTCATGGTTAATGAATAAGAAGTCCACATGGGGCTCTGTGCTGACAGCTCAGAGCCTAGAGCCTACTTCAGATTCTGTGTCTCCCTCTCTCTGCCCCTCCCCTGCTCACATTCTGTCTTTCTCTCAAAAACCAATAAACATTAAAAAAAAAAAAGAAAAAAAAGATTGTACAGCTTAAGCATGATTACCAGGTTAATGATAGTCTTTCTGAGGAGGCACAGACATTCCACTTACTAAATAAAGATTTTAAATCAACTGTCTTGAACATCCTCAGCTAAAGGAAAACATGGAAAACATCTAAGAAGTAGGAGAATAATGTTTCAACAAATAGAAAATATCAGTAAAGAGACAGATGAAATAGAAAGTGATGGAATAGTTATTCTGGAGTTAAAAAAGTATAATAGCCAAAATTCAAAATTCACTAGAGGGTGAATGGACAATAGATGGACAATAAGAATAAAGAATCAGTGAACTGATTTTAACTGAAATTATCAAGTGTAAGCAGAAGAAAGGGAGAAAAAGAATAAAAGGGAAAAAAAGAAGAAAAATGACTGGAGACTAAGAAATCTTCAAACACTATCAAGAATACTGATATACATGTAATAGGAGTCCTAGAAGGATAAGATAAAGAAAGGGCAGAAAGAATATTTGAAGAAATAAGAGTTGAAAACCTCCCCAATATGTCAAAACAACCTACACATCCAAAAAACTCAATTAACTTCAAGTATGACAAATGCATGGAGATCCCTGGCAAGCACATAATCAGTCAGCTTTTTATTTTTTTATTGAAAAAAAATTTTTTTTAACGTTTATTTATTTTTGAGACAGAGAGAGACAGAGCATGAACAAGGGAGGGTCAGAGAGAGAGGGAGACACAGAATCTGAAGCAGGCTCCAGGCTCTGAGCTGTCAGCACAGAGCCCGACACGGGGCTCGAACTCACGAACCGTGAGATCATGACCTGAGCCGAAGTCGGACGCCTAACCAACTGAGCCACCCAGGTGCCCCAATCAGTCAGCTTTTTTAAAAAAATTTTAATGTTTATTTTATTTTTGGGAGAGAGAGACAGAGCACGAGTGGGAGAGGGGGCAGAGAGAGAGGAAGACACAGAATCTGAAGTAGGCTGCAGGTTCTGAGCTGTCAGCACAGAGCCCGATGTGGGGCTCGAACCCACAAACCATGAGATCATGACCTGAGTCAAAGTTGGAAGCTTAACCAACTGAGCCACCCAGGCGCCCCAAGGCTCGTTTTAGATACACAAATAGGTTGAAAGTGGAAGGATGGAAAAAGACATTCCTTGCAGATAGTCATGAAACCTACCTGAGGAGCTATACACATATCAGACCAAACAGACTTTAAGTTGTAAAATTGCTACTAAAGATGCTGAAGGACATTCTATATTGAAAAAAGAGTCAGTCCATCATGAAGATAAAACAACTACAAATGATATGTATATAACAGCAAAGCCCCCAATTTTTTGAAGCAAAAAAAGAGTTCTACTATAACAGAGGGAGACCTCAGTGTTCCCTTTTTAATAATGGACAGAACCACCAGACATCAGTAATAGAGGACTGTGCAACACTAAACCAGCTAAACTCAGCAGACATATATAGAACACTCCACTCACCAAAAACATTGCACTCAAAACTAGGAATAGAAGGGAACCTGATCAGTCCGAAAAAGGATATTATAAAAATTCCATAGCTAACATCATACTCATTGGTGAACAACTGAAAACTTCCCCCTAATATCAAGAACAAAACACGTATGCCCCACTGTGCCACCACATATCAACACTGTATGGGAAACTTTAATTAGAGAAAATACAGAGGATAAATAAAATGTGTCAGAATTGGAAAAGAAATCAAACGATCTCCACTCATAGTGTACATGATCTTATATTTAGAAATAAGAATCCTCAGAAAGACATTTACCATATGTTTTCACTCATATGTGGATCCTGAGAAACTTAACAGAGAACCATGGCGGGGGGGAGGGGGTAGTTAGAGAGAGGGAGGGAGGCAAACCATGAGACTTAAATACTGAGAACAAACTGAGGGTTGGTGGGGGGTGGGGGAGAGGGGAAAGTGGGTGATGGGCATTGAGGAGGGCACCTTTTGGGATGAGCACTGGGTGTTGTATGGAAACCAAACTGACAATAAATTATATTTCATATAAAAAAAAAGAAATAAGAATCCTCAAACTATTAGAATGAATTCACTGAAGTTACAGAATACAGTATCAACACTCAAAATTCAGGTTGTGTTTCTGTACAGGAGCAATCAACAAATGGACAGTAAGTAAACAGTTCCATTTAGAAGAAACAAAGAAGAAAACAAATGGGAATAAATTTAACCAAGGAAATGGAAGATTTACACACACTGAAATTTCATACAAAGTTGTTGAGGAAAATTACAGAAAACCTAAACAAATGTCAAGATATCCTGTGCTTGTGGCTTAGAAGACCTTAAAATGGCAGTACTCCCCAGAGCAATATAAAGGGTAATGCAGTCCTTAGAACACCCCAACAGCATGTTTTGCCCAAATGGGAAACCTCATTCTAAAACTCACATAGAGGGGCGCCTGGGTGGCGCAGTCGGTTAAGCGTCCGACTTCAGCCAGGTCACGATCTCGCGGTCCGTGAGTTCGAGCCCCGCGTCGGGCTCTGGGCTGATGGCTCAGAGCCTGGAGCCTGTTTCCGATTCTGTGTCTCCCTCTCTCTCTGCCCCTCCCCCGTTCATGCTCTGTCTCTCTCTGTCCCAAAAATAAATAAAAACATTGAAAAAAAAAATTTAAAACTCACATAGAATTGGTAAGGACACCAAATAACGAAAATAAATATGAGAAAGAACAATATCGGAGGACTTAGAATTCTTGACATCAAACCTGACTACAATAACTTTGAGTAATCAAAACTATAATTCTAGCAGAGGCTAGAAATACAGATCAAAGTGATAGAATTGAGCGTCCACAAGTAAACCCATACGTCTGCAATCCATTCCCTTTTACAAGTCTGCCAAAAACAGTGGAAAAAAGAATAGTCTCTTTAATGGTACTGGAACAACTGGATATCCTTGTGTCAATGAAACTGAAACTACCTCCTACCATATAAGTAAATAAATTCAGAATTAATCAAAAGACTACAGGTAAGAGCTAAAACTATAAAAGTCTTAGATGAAAACATAGAGGTAGATCTTCATGACCTTAGGGTTGGCAGTGGATTTTTATATATGATACCAAAAGCAAAAGAGAAAATGACTAAGTAGATAAATTGGTATTTGTCACAATCATGTCTGTGCACTGAGACATTATCACGTGAGTGAAACAGTCTACCAAATGGGAGGAAATAATTTGCAAATCACAAATCTAGTAAGGGTGCAGAACCTAGAAATATATGAAGAACTTCTCTACAACTCAACAACCAAAATACAAAGAGCCCAATTTGCAAAATAGTCAAAGTATTTCAATAGACGTTTCTCCATAGAAGATGTACAAATGAAACAAGCACAAGAAGAGGTGTTCAATGAAAGTAGTCATTAGTAAGATGCAAAGTCAAAACCAAATGAGTTTCATTTCATACCCACTAGGATGACTATTGAAAAACAACAACAACAACAACAACAAATAAGTGTTGGTAAAGATGTAAAGATTCTAATTAGAGTCATGACACATTGCTGTTAAGCTGTTGTAGCTGCTGCAGAAAACAGTGTGGCCAATTCTCAAAATATTAAACCATGTGACCCAGTAATTCCACTCCTAGGTATATAATATAACCAAAAGAACTGAAAACAAATATTCAAACTTACTTGTACTTGAAAGTTCACAGCAACTTCTTAACATCAGGCAAAGGTGGTAACAAGCAAATGCCCATCAGCAGTTGAGTGAATATGGTCTAGTCCTGCTATGGAATACTCTGCAGGCAGAAGAAAGCAAATGTACCACTGATACATACTATATCATGGATGAACCCCAAACATTATTCTAAGTGAAAGAAGGCAGATGCAAACGGTCACATTTTTGATGCCATTCCATTCACATGAAAAGATCCAAAATCAGTAAATCCAGAGAAAAAGCATTAGTGGTTGCCAGGGACTGGGCAATAGGAAGCACCTGCTTAATGGGTAAAAGATTTCCTTTGGGGCTGATAAAAATGTTTTCTATCTAGACAGAGGTGAGGTTTATGCAACATTGTGAATGCACTGTCACTGAATGGCACTTTAAAATGGCTAATTTTATGTTAACTCTATCTCTTCAAAATTAACTTACACAAATCAAAGAATACTCACTCTAGCCAAGTCCATCTTTACACATCTGTGCTTCCCTAATTTTGTGTCAAATAAGAACACTTTCCCTGTCCACTTGCTGAAATGTGTTTTCCTTTCAGGGGCGGTTGACATTCAGGGATGTGGCCATAGAATTCTCTCAGGAGGAGTGGGAGTGCCTGGACCCCGCTCAGAGGGCCTTGTACAGGGACGTGATGCTGGAGAACTACAGGAACCTGGTCTCCCTGGGTGAAGATAACTTCCCTCCAGAAGTCGGTAATTACTTTTTATGTGTTTGCATTTCCTTTTGACAGTCCCTGACTTGATCATAGGAGTTTCAAATCCCTGTTCTTTAGGGAGTGATTGCAACCGTTTTGATGGAGAATGGAAAGGCATCATAATGTGGCAAATGGCCTCTTAACTTCCCTTTCCTTCAGAAGTTCTGCACTCCTGCTTGTTTAGGTGGTTGCAGAACATTAGTCAGAAAACCTTATGGGAGGGAAGTGGTGATGACGAGCACTGGGTATTATATGTTATATGAATCACTAAATTCTACTGAAACCCAAACTATACTGTTAACTAACTAGAATTTAAATAGCCATCTAGAAGTCTGGGGAATAGGATGTAAAAACCCTGAAAGTCTTAGTAAGTCCAATTTCACGGACATCATTAAAGATAAGGCTCAGAGACAATAAAGTTACTTAAAGTTGGGGAAAGAAAAGGAAACCTCACGGTGAATTTTTTAAAATATCTGATTCTGTGGTTTTACCCTTGTGCTTTTGGTTCAGTATTTCTTGGAAAGAACCAGATCTCTGCATACCTAAAATAATCCTTAAGCATTCAGGCACTCAGTTGACTACTTTTTGAAATATGTTTCTACACCCACATATACTGAATGTCCTTTCTTTGTTGAACAACAAGCTGGGAATGTATTCTGGAAGAGCAAAGCAGATCTGTTTTTCTTTATAAATGGAAATCTCTTCTTGAGCTGAATATCATCTCCATTTTCGAAGCAGGGAAAGAGCCCTGGACTGTGGAAAGTGACCTGAATATTTGGGGAAATCCAGACAGGTGGGAATGTATTGGAGATGTGAGCACAAGTCAGAGCTTAGATGGGCACAGAGTAAACGGCTCCAGTAAATACTGGTTGGGAAGGATCTGTGGGAAAATACAAGTTCATTCCTTATGAGCTTTCAAAGAAAAGCCTCCCTCACCCCTCACCCCCACACTTCTCATTCTGTTATTCAGATGTGTAAATCAAATGTGTACACGTCTAAACTCCCACTATTAGGACCTACAATGCTGTCACCTGGCCCCTCTGACCACACTGGTGCCATGGTTTGAGAGGGACTGGGATGGCTGTCCCTAAGGAATCTTTTCCCTGATCTCTCTTGGTTCTCATTCCATACAGGTCAGAGCTGAGGCCTCTGTAGTGCAGACCCCAGGACCTGTTCACTTTCCATTTCCATTTTGTTTCCCTGGGAGAACTTCTCAGGAGACCAACAAAATGTAGTATCTATCTAATAAAAGTAGAGCTAAAGTTTATCTCTTTCTTTCCTGGGCCATCCTGGCTTCTTAGGGCCGGGCCATTGTACATTAATTAGGAGGAAGTCATGATGTGGATAATTCCAAAAAGTGAAAATCCAAAATTAGATGTAGTTGAAATACAGCACAGCTTACTGACATCTCTAGTTAGCTTTTTGTAGGAAAAACATGTATCATTCCACAGATGTTTATTGCATTCCTGATATACGGAAAGCACCATATTAATAAATTTGGGTGGTGTTTTGTTTAGGTTGTTTTAAGAACTAAAGAGGCAGCAGCAAATTTTGATGTTAAGTAATCTCTGCACCTATTGTGGGGTTTGAACTCACCACCACAAGGTCAAGGGTTGCATGCTCTACCAAGTGAGCCAGCTAGGCTTCCCTCTTTTTTTTTCTTAACCCTTTGATCCCTTCACCCATTTCTGCCACTGTCCCCTCAACTTCCTGCCTGTAGTAACCACCAATCTGTTCTCTGTATCTACTAGGAGAGGTTGTTTTGTTAAGATTCCACATATAAGAGAAATCATACTGTATTGGTCTTTGACTCATTCCTCTTAGCATAATGTCCTCAAGGTCCATCCATGTTGTCACAAATGGCAAGATTCTTTCTTTTTTGTGGCTGGATAATATTGTGTTATATATACACAACTTTATCCATTCACCCATCAGTGGACACTTAGATTGTATCTGTATCTCAACTACTATAAATAGTGCTGCAGTGAACATCAGAACGCTTCTTTTTGAGTTAGTATTTTTGTTTTCTTCAGATAAATACTCAGAAGTAGAATTGGTGGATCACACAGTTCTCTTGGCTATACCATTTCATCTCCCACCAACACTGCACAAATTCCCCTCTCTGTCACCAATGCTTGTTATTCTTGTCTTTTTAATAACTGCCATTCTAATAGGTGTGAAATGATACCTCACTGTGGTTTTGATTTGCATTTCCCTGGTGATGAATGACGTTGAGCATCTTTTCATGGTCCTGTTGGCCACCTCTAGGTCTTTGTAAAATGTCTACTCAGCTCTTCTGCCCATTTCTTAAATTGGATCATTTGAGCATTTTTGGGCTGTTTTGGATTATTAGTCCCTTATCAGATACATTTGCTAATTTTACATTTTGTTGAAAAAGTGTTTACTTTGCTGTGCAGACACTTTTTAGTTTGATGTTGTCCCACTTATTTTTGCTCTTGTTTTTTCTTTTGGCGTCAAGAGTCAAAAAAACAAAAAAATTTGCCCAGACCTGTGTCAAGGAGCTTCTCACCCTCTATCTTTTCTTCTAGGAGTTTTATGGTTTCAGGTCTTAGATTTAGTCTTTAATCCATTCTGAGTTAATTTTTGTGTATGGTGTCAGTCAGTGGTCCAGTTTCACGCTTTTGCCTCTGGCTGTCCCGTTTTCCCAAACCATCGATTGAAGAGATTGTACTTTCCCCCATTGTACAGTCCTGTCTTCTTTGTTGTAAATTAATTGACCGTGTGTGAGTTTATTTCTAGGCTCTGTTCTGTTCTGTTGATCTGTGTATCTATTTTTATGCTAATACTATACTGTTTTAATTACCACAGCTTTGTAATCAGGAAGTTTGAAATTGGGAATGTGATTCCTCTAGCTTCGTTCTTCTCTCTCAAGATGCTTTAGCATTTGGGTTCTTTTGTGGTTCCATACAAATACAGGATTTTTCTATTTTGTGTGTAGGTTTTTAAGTGGATGTAAATTTTCAACTTATTTTTGTAAATACCAAAGAGTGTGACTGCTAGACAACGTTTAGTAGTATGTTTAATTCTGTAAGAAACTTGCAGTCTTCCAAAGTGGCGTACCATTTTGCATTCCCACCAGCAGTGAA